CCACTCCTAATGTTGTGGTAATTTTATGGTCGACCTTTTATACATGCTATTAATATGATAGGAATATAACTCGGAGATTAATTATTAGTACAGTGAAGTTTCTGGCTAACAACTTGGTGAATCGTAATACCATCTTTCTAAAACCATGTTGAGTAATATCTATTAATTTTAATTCCTCAAAAGTACACTGTCCAAGTTATCTCTACAGAAAAATAAAATAGAAAAAAAAAGGACAGCATACAAAATCAGTAACAGAAGGCAAACTGTTCTTCATTTAAAATTTTCAATAGATGTATAAGTAGACACAGTGGTGGTGGGGATATTAGGGAAATAAATCTAGGGGTAGCTAATTACTTTTCCTGCGGGAGGACGTCTTTTGTAATTACGCCATACGCCACTGCATGGGCGGTCTTCCATTCATAAAAAAAGTCTCTTAATACATAACCTCTTATCTTATTCGACTTACCAAAAATTTTCTCTATTTTCATTTGTTGTTAAGCACAATGGACTATATGTGCTTTTCTCTCAGCTGGTATCGAAACCTGAATTTTAGTGTCACAAACTCTCAGACTTATCACTAAGCCACTGGGGGATTTCTCTTATTAATAAATTGAAAAGTAACGAATCTCATTTTCATCTTCGGCCAGAAAAAAACACGTCATTTTTTTCACATATTTATGTTCAATAGTATTATTAATTTCCCTTCTTTTTTTAAGATGGGATATGTAACAACCCTCCACGTTAGATTTAATGTTTGACACTAACAAACGTTATTAAAAAAATTGATGATGGAAAAAGAAAAACCTTTTAATAAAATTTCTTGTTGTTATAACACTTCTGGCTTCTTGCAAAAATAATCAGTCATTAAAAAAATTTGATAAACACATAACAAAAAGTAGATTTTCAAATTATGATGGGTATATATTGGTAACTTCATCTGTATAACCTGATTATTAGAAATAACATCATAACCAAAAATTAAACACATTTGTTTAAAATACTTGAAATCATTTCTGGTACTCATGTATATTAAACAAATAGTTGAAGTCAGTTCTGGTAGTCATGTAGACTAAACAAATAGTTGAAGTCAGTTCTGGTGGTCATGTATACTAAACAAATAGTTGAAGACAGTTCTAGTGGTCATGTAGACTAAACACATAGTTGAAGTCAGTTCTAGTGGTCATGTAGACTAAACAAATAGTTGAAGACAGTTCTAGTGGTCATGTATATTAAACAAATAGTTGAAGTCAGTTCTGGTGGTCATGTAGACTAAACAAATAGTTGAAGACAGCTCTAGTGGTCATATAGACTAAACAAATATTTGAAGTCAGTTCTAGTGGTCATGTAGACTAAACAAATAGTTGAAGTCAGTTCTGGTGGTTATGTAAACTGAACAAATAGTTGAAGTCAGTTCTGTTAGTCATGTAGACCAATAAAATAATTGAAATCAATCCTGGTGGTCATGAAGATCAAACAAATAGTTGAAGTCAGTTCTGGTTGGTCATGTAGACTAAACACATATGTGAAGCCAGTCCTGGTGGTCATGAAGATCAAACAAATAGTGGAAGTCAGTTCTGGTGGTCATGTAAACTGAACAAATAGTTGAGGTCAGTTCTGGTTGGTCATGTAGACTAAACACATATGTAAAGCCAGTCCTGGTGGTCATGAAGATCAAACAAATAGTGGAAGTCAGTTCTGGTGGTCATGTAAACTGAACAAATAGTTGAAGTCAGTTCTGGTTGGTCATGTAGACTAAACACATATGTGAAGCCAGTCCTGGTGGTCATGAAGACCAAACAAGTAGTTGAAGTCAGCTCTGAAATTTTGATTTAAAAAGAAGGTTTTTATTTAAATGCGTCTGATTTGCAGTAATAACCACCTACCGCATTTTGTCGGTACGAATTGTATTTGGTATAGTTTTGTTTGTTTTTTTTCTGCTAAATTTTCTTTAATTCTGGTTTGACTTCAATTACACTTTCTCTAAACTCACCATGTTGGATTTGGTAATAGTTGACTTAAATTAATTACACTTACTTATGGTTGAAATGATCTTTGTTGACTGGCCTAATGAGAAAAGCGCGCTACAATATATAAATATAATATTACATTGTGTGTAACTGGTTGTTTTGGATACGACATGTGTAACTTTCATCTAGACACCTTGCGTACGTTACAATTGCTGTTTTAACAATTATTTAATTCCTGGCTACTCTAATCAAAAGGCGTTTTGGGGAGTTTGTATTTTTTTTTTTAAATCAGTGCGCGGAAACTGTTGAACCATAAATATATGAAGTCAAGCGTGCGCCCCAATATGCCTTTTTAAGCAAATTCAAATAGCAATGCCTTATGTTGAGTTTGGTAAAGTTTTGTTAAGTGAATGTTTTATCTATTAAAACTGAAGTAAATACGACGAAACAAAAAAAAGTAAAATCTTATTCATTTGTCATTTGAAAAAACTGGTTTTTTTGTTGTTGTTTCTTTCTTATTACCACACCTAAAACAGACAGAGCCAAACCTGATATTAGTGGAACGATTGATACATCTTTAGTCCTAAATAAGACCAGCAGTTAAGGTCACCACATTGCCTACTCTTCAAGAATTCTGATTTTCTCCAGTTTACTGAAGTTGAACTGTTAGCAAATTGATACCAATGGATTCTAGATACAAACACACACACACACCTTCACAGTTCTTAAATTGATTTAAACGCAAATAATATTGACATGATCACTCATCGTTCTTTAAGTAAATCAATGCATATAAATGTTTGTTTTTTTTGTCAAATCTACTTTCAGTATTAGTGGCTGACCCTTTCAGAGAATCGGGATCTAATTGGTTGCTATACCCAGAACAAGACTGCATCTTTATTGAATAACCTATACTTTATTTAAACCAAAAATAAAATTTATTAGTGAGAAGTACAGAATGTTAGCATTTATCACGAGAAAAAATACCTTCAGAGTTTGGAACTCGCGACATACTTTTAATGTTATGGAATAAGTAATTGACGAATAAAAATTGGAGATAACTGTCTTTCTGAGACAGGGTGTTTTTCTTCAGATACAGAGCTCGTTACTCAGTTTTAAATAAAATAATTATATACATATATTTATTTCTATAGTGATTATTTAAAAAAATAGCAAATGGAACAAACTATCAAATGACTTGAAATTATAGAATCTAGTTTCGAAACATTCGTAAGTCCTCTTCAGTCTCACGGTCTTCTGGCAGGAAAACTGGTCAACAATGCCTATGTGACTTCGGAACCTCAAATTCTCTTAAGGATACGTGTGTTCAGAAAGCTGTTAAGCTTTAAGTGGCCTCGGAAGGTGTTGAAATTAAGCAGCTTTTAATTAAGCAACTTTCTGAAATACTTCTTTTTATGTAGTTATCCTTTTCGTATATGGTTCTTGTTGAATTCCAACCGATTTGATGGCCAGAACCTTTCATATGAAGAAAAATTAGATTTTTGTTTTCCATATTTAATATATATTTTTTTATGTTCAGAAAATTTCCCTTTTCTGTTTTACCTACATAATCTTTCTCGCAGAATTGGAATAGTATAATAAAAAGGCCTTGTTGTTTTATCTTTTTACGTTGTTCTATTTGAAGTTACGTAATTTTTATTGGTGTTCGGATATTTGTGTGTGATTCTAGGATTCTTCTTCTTTAACATTTTCTCTAGGGGCTCAATGTTTGTATTGTAGCCCATATAAAGCCCATATTATCATTGGTTGGTCTTTCTTTATCTTCATGGAAGAATGTTCTTCTTACTCTACCATGGCTCAATGTTTGTATTGTAGCCCATATAAAGCCCGTATTATCATTGGTTG